AATCTGTAACCGTAATGTTGACCGCAATCACTAACTACTTTTAACTCTAAAGTCATGTAGTTAAAGACTACTCAAAACCAGTTGTAGTTAATGACGCTGTTGTGACTAAAACCAAAAGATGGTCGCGCGATTGGGAAGCCGTTTTAAAACCTCTTGCTCACTTGTCTCATGGGGGCTTTCAAGGTAGATGTTCAGTCACTTAGTAGGCCTGATTTGCTGGTTTTTTATCCCGCATCCCGCATGCCGCCCGTAAATATCAAATTTATCCCATATTTCCTGGTTGAAATGAGCACATTCTGCACAGCCTAAGATATTTTTATCGCGTATCCCGTATTCCGCAGTGCACATCCCGCCTGGATTTTCCATTTATCTCACGTCGAGCCAAGCTCATATGTTTGGACACTCCAGAATCTTCGAAAAACATCTTCCATGCTTGACGCATTATAATAATCAGTATCTCCTTGAAATATCTAAAAACCCTCAAGCGGTTTTCGTAGTATCACTTTCCAAAGCAAGTTTCGCCGTGGTAAGTACAGCTCTAGCTAACTTTGCATCGTCTGCTTTTTATCTTCACGAGTTATAATAATATAGAGCTTGATTATGATAACCGGAACATTCAGACCATCATTAAGTGACGGTTAATTGTAAGCTCAGTCCACCGTTTGTTAGTTAACAACAAAGGTTTCGGCTCTGTCAGGTCTGATGTCTGTTACCACCGGAAAACAGCAGTTTGAAATGGACTAAATCGTACAAAGTAAATTATAAAGTAAAAACTGAGGAAAAGTTAATTAACGGCCTTCCAAATTTTACGACAGAACGATGGCAAAAGTACCTTTCATTAGTTGTCTCATTTCTCTTCAGAGCAAGTCAGTCTGTCTATGAAATGAACCGGCGAAGAATGTCTCAAAGTCCATTAATCACATAACAAAGAATTAAGTAGTAGACCAGAATTGTTTTTAAGTGCGAGAAACTTCAAAATATCAAACAAGATGCTAAGATTTATATTGAAAGGTCCAGGACTGTAAACAATCTAACGAACACAGTGCATAAGTTACATAACCGAAACGTTTCTGTTGGTTAATCTATAAGACAGAATTGAATAATGACCCATTGTGTTTTATGCACCGTTAAACCAAAGAACGAACGACATATAACAAAGAACTTTATCTATCTTGAAAACCAATTCCATTTATAATTATTACCTATGGTCAAAAACCCAGTATGCTTTTAACGATATTGGACTTAACTGTCTGTATTTAACAAAGAATGGGAATAGGAAAATGCAACTTGTTTTCGAGTGATGTTATTTGATTTTATTGCTCAATATTTGAAACCTATTTCAATTTTAATTCGTTTTAACTTCCTACTGGACCTCCTATTGTCTTGTAGGGAAACCCCCCAGTGCTGTTTCAGTTTCTATCAATTTTGGTTTCATTTTCGTCAGACGACTGAGAAATTGAACACGGTAAGTTTGTAAACTGTAAACTGTCTATGACTGTTAGCGTTGGGTGCACATATAACAAGTAAAGCTTATTTTTAATACTTTAACGTTACACCGAGAGAGGTTTGCATGAATCGCTTGACTGATTTTCTACTTGCTGTAAGAGTTATTAGTGAGTCACGCAAAAATTTAAGTCACGCGAATAATTGTTTGGAAGCATTGTTTGCGGAGTAATAATTTGCTTAACTTTTCCTTCTCTTCTCTTTTTCAGAGGGAAGGGTCTTGTTTTTGACGCGTATTCAGTCTGGCTTCATTTTGGTCGACTCACCAATAGCAGTGAGTATAAATCGGATTTTAATAGCTTTGATATTCTTTGTTAGACTTAAATCTTTAAGTAAACTGTTCACAGTCGATCTACTTTTTGAACGTAGAGAAAGAACCCAGGAGAATCTGTAACCGTAATGTTGACCGCAATCACTAACTACTTTTAACTCTAAAGTCATGTAGTTAAAGACTAGTCAAAACCAGTTGTAGTTAATGACGCTGTTGTGACTAAAACCCAAAAGATGGCCGCGCGACTGGGAAGCCGTTTTAAAACCTTTTGCTCATTTTTCTCATGAGGGCTTTCAAGGTAGATGTTCAGTCACTTAGTAGGCCTGATTTGCTGGTTTTCACTCCGCATCCCGCATCCTGCATCCCGCATCCCGCCCGTAAATCAAATTTATCCCGCATTTCATGGTTGAAATGAGCACATTCTGCACAGCCTAAGATATTTTTATCCAGTATCCCGTACTCCGCATTGTACTTCCCGCCAAGCTTATATTTTGACACTCCAGAATCTTCGAAATACATCATCCATGCTGGACGTAATATGATAATCAGTGTCTCCTTGAAATAGCTAAAACCCCTTAAGCGGTTTTCGTAGTTTCATTTTCCAAAGTAAGTTTCGCCGTGTAAAGTACAACCCTAGCTAACTTTGTATCTTCTGGTTTCTATCTTAACCAGTTAGAATAATATATAGCTCGATTATGATAGCCACGAAATTCAGATAATCATAAAGTAATGAAAAACTGCAAGCTCCATAGTTTGCTTTTACATAGCAAAGTTTTTGGATCTGTCAAATCTGATGTCTGTTACCATGGGAAACTGAGAGTTTGAAATCGACCAATTTGCACAAATTACATCATGAAGTGAAACTGACAAAAAGTTAATCCACGGCCTTCCACATTTTACAACAGAATGATGGCAAAAGTAGCTTTCATTAGTTGTCTTATTTCTCTTCAGAGTAATTCAGTCTATGACAGGACGGCTTGGAATTTAAATTCCGGCTATTATTTCAGCCGACACAGAATTTAATAGTAGACTGGAGTGGCTTTTAATTCACGCAAGACACTTCGAAAGAGCGAACAAAGATGCCAAGATTTCTATTGGAAGGTCTAGGACGGTGATTAATCTTTCGTTTTGCGATCATACACAGTGCGTTAATTGCATAAAACTGAAATGTTTCTGTTGGTTAATCCATGAGAAACATAAAACACAATACGATAACAGCTATTGTGTTTTATGCAGGGTTAAGCCAAAGAATGAAAAACAGACAAAGAACTTTGTCTAGTTTGATAACCATTTCACTGATTATAAGCTATGGTCACCCAAATATGCTTTCAAAGCTATTGGACTTCAAGCCGTCAGTGTTTAACAGAGACTAGAAATAGAGAAAAATATAGTTTACTTCCCAATGTTCTTATTAGATTGTCTTTTGAAACATATATTAATTTCAGTTTGTTTTGACTTAATATTGGACCTCCTATTGTCTCACTTTTCATTTCATTTCAATCGGAACACGGTAAGCCGTGAGTTTATAAACTGTTAGCCGTTTTTGACTAATAGCGTTGAGTGCACATATAACAAGCATAGTTGATGCTAATTACTTTAAATTTACACTGGGATAGGTTTGCATGAATCACGTGACTTATTTTCTTCTTGTTGTAAGAGCTATTATTGAGTCACGCGAAAAGTTAAATCACGCGAATAATTGTTTGGAAGCATCGTTTGCGCAGTAGTAATTCGCTGAACTTTCCTTCTCTTCAGCTTTTCAGAGGAAAAGGTCCTGTTATTGACGCGTATTCAATTTGGTTCCATTCTGGTCGACTCACCAAAACCAGTGAGTATAAATAAACATTCTAATTACTTTGTTATTCATTGTAGGCTGGAATCATTAAGTCGATAAACTTTTTGAACGCAAAGAAAGAACCTGGGAGAATTTGAAACAGTAATGCCTGCCACAGACATGTAGTTACGGACTAATCTGAGTCAGTTGTAGTAATATATGACGCTAGTATGATCGAAACGCAATTGGCAAGCTGTTTTAAAAACCCCTACTCTTTAACTCATTAGTGTTTACAAACATTACCGAAAGGTAGATTAATTTCTTCAGTCACTGAGTAACCGTGTTTTGCTGTTTTTCATTCCACACGCCGCCCCTCAATATCAAATCTATCCCGCATTTCTTGGTTGAAATAAGCGCATGCTGCTCCCGCCAAGATATTTAAATCCCGTATCCCGCATTCAATATCGCACCTATAAACTTCCATGCATGATGTATTATGATAATCAGTATTTCATCAAAATGTTGAGAACCCCTCAAGCGATTTTCGTAGTTTCACTTTCCAAAGCAAGTTCCGCCGTAGTAAGCACAGCTCAAGTTAATAACTTTGCATAGTCTGGTTTTTATCTTCACGAGTTAGAATAATACAGAGCTTGATTATGATAGCCAGGACATTCAGACCATCATTAAGTGACGGTTAAATGCAAACTCAGTCCGCCGTTTACTAGTTAACAACAAAGTGTTTGACGCTGTCAGTTCTGACGTTTGTTACCATGGGAAAACGAGAGTTTGAAATCGACCAAATCGGACAAAGTACATCACAAAGTAAAAACTGACGAAAATTTAAGCCACGGTCTTCCATATTTTACAACAAAACGATGGCAAAAATAGCTTTCATTAGTTGTTTCATCGAGGAATGTAAATTATATTAATCAGTCGACACAGAGTTTAATAAAAAAAACTGGAGTGGTTTCTAAGCCCTAGATGTTTTAAAAGAGCAAACAAAGATGCTATGATTTACATGGGAAGGTCCAGGATTGTGAAAAATCTTTTAACAGTGTATTACTTAGATAACCGAAACGTTTCTGGTGGTTAACTTATAAGACAGAACTGAGTTAACACCTATTGTGTTTTATGCACGGGTAAGCCAAAGAGCGAACAACAGCAGACAACAATTGAAAGAACTTTGTCTAGTAGAAATCCATTGTGCTGAATATTAGCTATGTTAAAAAACCCAATATGCTCTCACAGTTACAAGTCTTTACCGTCAGTACTCAACAAAGTATGGTAATGGAAAATGTAACTTACTTTCGAATGCTTTTATTCGATTGTTTGGCTGAACGTTTTAAACTTATTTTAATTTTAATTTGTTTTGACTTCTTGTTGGACGTCCTATTGTATTGCAGGGAAACTCAGTTTCTATCACTTTGGGTTTCACTTTTAAGAGAAGACTGACAAACTGAACTCGGTAAGTTTATAAACTGTAAGCTATTTGTGACTAGCAGCGTGCACATACACAAGATCTAGAGTTTACATTGGAAGAGACGTAACCAATAGCGTGACTGATTTTCTTCCTGCTGTAAGCGTCAAAAGTGAGTCACGCGAAAAATTAAGTCACACAAGTGATTGTTTGGAATCACCGTTTTTTTAGTAGTAACAATTTGCTTAACTTTCGCTTTTTGCTTACTTTTCAGGGGAAAAGGTAATGTTATTGACGCTTATTGGTTTTGGTTTCACTCTGGTGACTCACCAAAGCTAGTGAGTATAGATAATCATTTTAGCTTAGTTTTGACATATTCATAGGAGACTGAAATAGTGATGTTAACTGTTCACGGTCAATTTCCTTTTAAATTTTCAACACAAAGTCAGAACCTAAGAGAATTTGTGACCGCAACGTCAACGTTAATCACTTACTGCTTTTAACTTTGACGTCATGTATTTAAAGACTAATCAAAACCAGTTATAAGTAGCGACGTTCTTGTGACCGAAACACGATTGGCAAGCTGTTTTAAAAACTCCTTCTTTTTAACTCATTTGTGTTTACAGACA